GGCTCCTTTATCCACACCCCTGGACCCGAGCTGCAGAGGGCCCTGGCCACACTTCAGAGTCAGGGGAGGGCCTGCCGAGGGCCTGAAGAGGGTCCAGCAGGGGCTAGGGAGAAGCGAGCAGCAGGGACCAAGGAGGAGCAAGCAGGACACAGAAGAGCACCTGGCAGCAGAAGACCCCAGCGGGTAAAGAGAGGCTGGACCATACCCGGCACGTTGTGGTGTGGAGTAGGGGATTCTGCTGGGAACTCCTCGGAGCTGGGTGAGCCATGGGGATGTGGACCAGGGGGCAGGGGAGGGAAGTGCTGGTTTTCGCCCTGGCCCCAATTCTCCCAGGCTGTGTGTCCGTGGGGGATTTCAATGTCCTTATCTGTAAAAAGGGGGTGACCCTAAGTTTCATCGTGGGTTGCTTAATTCAGGTCGTAGATGGGAAACGTCCTAGTCAAACCTCAGAGTCCTCATTAATCACCATCCCTGGGAGGGGTTGGACTGGGGTGGGTCCAAGGTTGGCTGAGCCAAAAAGCCATTACCCAAGAGGAGGCTTTATGAGGCAGGATGCCCAGCGGAGGGGACGCCGAGACCCAAAGGCCTGGGTTAGCAAATTCAAGCTGAACAAGTCACTTCCCATCTCTGAACCTTGGTTTCCTCACAGGTACATGGAGATGATATTTCCCTCACTGAGCTGCTGTGAGTTTGGGTGTGGGGAGTGTCAGGCAATTGGGAAATGCTCAGTAAAAGGCACTATTGCTCAGATGGTAAGAACTTGGATGACTTTTGTGCACTCGGTACAGCTGTCTGTGCACGCATGGTGGGTTGGGGGAAGGCTTTGGCACCTGAGTTGGAGCAGATTGGCATCCTGGCAATGCCTCATCATGCCAGCGAGAAAGGATGCACTCTGCCTCTTTGCCATTCCATTCTACACACATTCATAACTTTGGAGTTTTATTTGGGGCGTGAGCTCGGGAGCTCTAGAGGCAGACTTCGCTTCCCCTGAGGAAGTCCCTTTCCCTAACAAGGGCTCCTGGGTGGGCTGCCCAGCATTTGGAGCTGCCCAATAAAGGCTGTGCCTGGTTGCTTTTGGCAAGCTTTGAAACTGAGAGTCGCACAGAGGGAGAGTGGCCTGAGGCCGCCCAGGGTATCTGTGTCAGGGCTGGGGCAAGAACAAGGTCCCTGCTCCCTGCACCATCGAGGCATAGCCAGCGTGGGGTGCCCAGGACCCTGCTCAGCTGGTGCCCCCTCTGCCTCCTGCAGGGGTCTTCCAAGGCCCTGATCTCTGCTGCCGGGAACACGACCATTGCCCACAGACCATCTCGCCCTTCCAGTACGACTATGGCATCCGAAACTACCGATTCCACACCATCTCCCACTGTGACTGTGATGCCAGGTTGGCAGTGGGTAGAGAGGGCTGGGTGCTCAGGGGTGGGATAGTTCCTGGGTGCAGAGACTGGGATTCCAAAGAATCCTAAAGGGTCAGCCCGCCAGACCCCACCGTGCAGGTGGGAAAGCTGAGCCCTTGGGGAAGAGACCCTTGGATCCCAAACCACCTGCATGGTAGTGACTGGGTGGTCTTGGAGGAAGAGACGGGTGGCCCTCTTTGGTCCAGAGACCTGAGTGCCAGCTCTCGGGCAGGTTCCAGCAATGCCTGCAGAACCAGCAGGACTCCATCTCGGACATCGTGGGTGTGGCCTTCTTCAATGTGCTGGAGATCCCCTGCTTCGTGCTGGAGGAGCAGGAGGCCTGTGTGGTGTGGTACTGGTGGGGAGGGTATGTGGCTGCCCCCTTCGATCCCCTTCCCAGCCAGAGGGGGAGCCTAGGCTCCAAGCCCTGGGAGGGAGGCTTGTCTGTACGTCCATCCTCCAGCGAATGATACCTCATCCTCCCTGTGCTCTCCTCAGGACAGGGCCCAGGATGCAGACCTTCCTTGGGTGCTCCACATAGGCCAGTGGGACAAGGCATGGCACTGACAGAGCCTTGGTCTCCATGGAGATGAACCTGGGGTTTCTGGGGTGCGGGGGGATTGTGAGTTACCAATTGCCACCTTCCAGGTGTAGAACATATGGCTCCACACCCCTTGCCCGCCTCCAGTCCCGGAGGACTTTCTACAATGCCTCCTGGAGCTCCCTGGCCACCCCCATGACTCCCAGCCTCCAGAGCCCAGCCCCCAGCAGGCCTCCGCAGAAGCAGCATCCTCAGAAGCGGCTGCCACAATGGAAAGGGTCTAAGCACCCCCACAAAACCAACACCACAGCCCTCCGTGTCCCCATGGCCTCCACCAAACCTGATATGTCCCCCACAGCCTGGCTGGAGGTCACCCATCCAGGCCTCCAGGGGCCACAGAATGGCCTAAAACCTCAGGGTGAGCTCAGAACTTAACTTTGGGGGTTCCTGATGTGGGAAGGTGTCCCTGCCTCTGTGCGGGGTTGAGGGGCCCTGTGTTGCTTCCTTCCCTTTTCCAAACTCCTCCTGGGGTGTCCCAACCTCTCCCATCAAGTCACGTTGCAGCTAGAAGGATTTTCGTAAGCCCTAAACTTGCCCATATCACTCCTCACTGAGCCCCCACCATGGCTCCTCTTAACTCATGATGTCCCAACACCCGGGGGCCCTCAGGTGCCGGTCCTGCAGACTCTACTCCCCAGTTGAAACTCCAGTCTTGTATGCCTCATTTGGTTCCTCAAAAGCAGCTTGCTCTGTCCCACCTCTGGGCCTTTGTGCATGGCAGTTCCTTCCGCCTGGAGCACCCTTGCCGAGTCTTCTCGTCTGCTTAGCAGTCTCTTCCTCCAAAAGGCCTTTCCTGACCAACATTCTGGGCTCTATGGTGGCACTGCTGTGTGTGCATGAGAGTGTGCGTGTGCATGTGTGTGTGAGACGTGGGTAGCATTCTGAGGGCAGGAAGGACGTGAGACAGGGGGACACTGTGTGTGACTGAGCACGTGTGCCTATGTTTCCCCTACATGGCAGTGGGCATCAGTGGGGCTTTGCTGGGGGACCGGGCTCCCCTCACCACCATGCCCCCTGCCCCCAGACGCCCGCCGGGCCTGCCGCAGCTTCCGCCGTCTGGATCAATGCAAGCAGCAGATCGGGCCTCAGGAAACCAAGTTCCAACTGCTCAATAGCGCCCACGAGCCCCTCTTCCACTGCAACTGCACACGTCGGTGAGGCCTGCTTGGACCGTTGGGGGTGGGCAGCCTGCTGCCAGTCACGGAGAGGGGGCTCCTGGGTGGCCAGGCCCTGCCCTAGCCTAAGCCTGCCTCTGCCCTCACTCAGTCTGGCACGCTTCCTGAGGCTCCACAGCCCAGCTGCGGGCACCAGCATGCTTTGGGAGCTGCTAGGCATGAACTGCTTCAAGCTGGCCCCTCCACTGGACTGTGCTGAGGGCAAAAGGTAAGTGGCGGCAAGGCCAGGAGGGAGGGGGCATTTTCCCAAGGTGGGGGGTTACCTATCCTCCCTTTGTGTGCCAGGGCCAAGGGGATGGGGAAAGGGGCTAAGGCACCTCTGAGTTCCGTCGTCATCATCCCCTACTCCCTGGTGCTCCAGGTACAGCTCTGCAGTTGGCTTGTATGGGTCCATGTTGACTCTGTCACTTCCTATGTGACCTAGCAAGTTCAGTCACCGCTCCGTGCCTCCATTTTCTTATTTGTAAAAAGCTTGTAGAAACCAAGGAAATGGTATGTGTGACACTGTGACACACAGAGTCCAAGGCCTGCCTGGCACATAGTAAAATGTTTGCTTAACTCTTACTCCTAACCTAAAACCATGACCACCCGCCCCACTTTTGTCCGCCCACAGCTGTTCCAGAAACCCTAGGGCCATCAAGGTGACAGCCTGGCACTTGTGGCGACTTCAACAGAGGCGACGCCAGCTCTGGGGTGTGGGCACAGGTGAGGGGCAGGTGTGGCCTTCAGATCACCCAAGAGCCGCCATGTCATTCTATGACCGCTGCCTGCAGCTGACCCAGGCAACCCGGAGACCCATCGGGCGGCAGAAATCCTAGAACGAATGATCTCAGTTCCGACTCTCCTGGACACCAGGCTGGACCCTGCCCCTAGCTCTGCTAGGCCCCAGGGGGTCTTGGCTTCCTCTCCATGTGTTAGACTGAAGCATGGCTCGGGCCCCTGTGGACAGCCAGACGACAACGAGAGGCAAGGCTAAAATGCTGGACCACGTCTCCTGCTGTGCTGAGTGATCCTGAGCTGGTGACACAACCCCTCTGTGCTTGGACGTGGTGTTCAGGAGGCACATTCTGATGCCCTGGGCTTGGGCCTTGCCAGATGGGAATGGGGAAAGGGTAACTTATTACAGCAGCCTCAGGAGGTACACGTATCTCCAGGTTGCAAAATGAACACATATCTCAAAAGCCTGTCCAAGGAGCCCCAAGCGCCTATTTGCTGAGGCCTGAGGCAGCAGGTGGGGAACGGGATGTCACAGAAGCGCCTGTATCTGAATCCAGGAAAAGGGAGGGTGTTAGGGGGCGCTTCCCAACTCTTTTCCCTGGGGGATCCCTTCTCAACAGCTGCTGTGCCCTTCCTGGCCCAGCCCTGGCCCATTTTTTCCTACCCTAAACCCAAATTCAAATCTCCTCTGTGTCCTTGAACGAGGGACCTCCCCCACTCTGAGCCTTAGTAACTCCTCTGAAAAGGGGCAGTGTGATGAGGACCTACCTCATAGGATGGTTGAGGATTAAGTAAACCAATACATGGAGAATGCTTAGCACCTAGTAAACGTTCCCTCCCTCTAACATATAGCCAAACTGTGGTTAGGCATCTGATTCTGAGAGGTTGACCTCCTGGAGGCCTCAGTCTGCCCACCTGTGAAATGGGTCTAAGAACTGCACTGAACTCCACACTGCAACTCTGGGCTGTGGTTCGGATTAAAAGAGCTGGCCTGTGTAATGTATACAGCTGGTTCCTGGTAATTGTCAGCTCTATCATCCTCTCGCCTCTTTAGTCCCTTTCTCTGCCTACCCCCACCCCCAGACTGCTAACGAGTTAGGAAGGAGTCAGCAGTGATGCTGGAGAATTTAATTTCTAATTGATGACCTCCAGGATTGCAAACCCCCGCCACCCCATCTCAGATGGGGGCTGATAGCGCTTTGCTGATTGTCACAGTTGAGGGGCCAGGACTGAGTTTGGGGGACCCCACGTGGCCACCCCTGACCAGGACAGAGTGGCAGGTGCGGATGAAGCCGGAGCAGCGGCAAGAGGAACACAGGTGGGTTTGCAGGAGATCGGGGCACAGTGGCGGCCACCTGGGCCCATCCGCCCACCCACCCTCAGGGCCCCAGACCCCCTTCCTCCAGCCCCTGCCGGCCCTGGCTACTGGGGGCTGGGGCCTCCCGATTAGGTCCCCAGGAACCACCCCCACCGGGGTCGACGGTCTCCAGGCGCAAGGCAGGCAGCAAGCCGAGGCTTCGAGGCACAGACGGTGGGAAGGCCCAGGGACCGGGCAGCCCAGAGGGCCCCTCCTCACTACTGCCCCGGCTGCCACCGTCATTGCTCCTGTCGGGGGCCCCCCGGAGCAGGCGGCGGCTCGGCGGTGAGGGGCTGCGGCTGGCACCACGGCGTTCACGGGATGAAGGCCGCAGGACAAGGCCAGGGAAGCGGGCCAGGCCTGGGCTGCGGCTACGGTGTCTCTTGGACTTGCCGGGGCTGGGGCTACGGGACTTGGGTGCGAGCAGCTCCAGGGTACTGTCATCCTCATCCTCTGAACTGGCGCTTGAGCTGTCTGTGCTGCTGCTGGCCGGCTCCGAGGTGGGCAGCGAGATCTGAGGGCGGAGGCCGGTGACTGGGCTGCCCCAGGCCCCAACCAGGCGCCGAAGGCGTCTTGGAGCCACTCCCACCCTGCCCATTAGCAGAGCCGGGAAGGTCAGGTTCCTTGTAGGAGATCATGGAGCAGAAGGCAGAGGCTGTGGTGTTTGAACAGGGTCTTTTAGCACCCTCGATCCCGCAGTCTGAACGACTCACCTGGAAGGGCTCAGTGACACCAATGAGGATGCTGTGCGTGTGGCTGTAATAGCCCAGGATGAAATCTCCATGGCCCTTGGGCAGCGACTCCTCACTGAAGGTCACCTGGTGGGCCCAGGACATAGGCCCAGGTTGGGGTCAGGGAGGCAGCCTCAAGGACTGCCCAAGCCAAGTCCCGAGCTCCAAGGGCAACGGGGACTTCCTCCCACCCTCCCCCTCCCTTTCAGTACCTGGTAGATGTTCCCATCCACATCCTCGTGTTTGGCCCAGACATAAGCCACGTAGTCCTTGCAGTGGCGGAAACCCACCTGGGGTGAGAGGATTCAGGGTGGTGTCCCCTCTCACCTGACTCCAGCAGCCTCCCGGGCTAGCAACGAACTCTGGAGAAGCCAGTGATCCCCCTGGGCCCCTGGCTGCTTTCTCCAGGCCCTCCCTTCCCTGAGGCACTGACTGTCCCTGCCCTTCTCACCCGGTACAAGCCGATCCAGTCCCAGGAGCTGCGGGCGAACACGGTTTCGATGCGGTACCTCACCACAGCCTGCTCTGGTCGCACCCACTCATCTGCCACCTCCAGCCGCACTAGCGGCACGTCGTCCCTGTAGGCAAACTGCCCAGGGGCGGAGGCCACATCAGGGGAGACCCTCCAAGTGTCCTTGGGCCTGAGTCAGCGCAAATCAGCTGACAGAAAGCCTTTGAAGCCACCTTACGGATTGGCAAACCAAGGCAGAACAGGTCTAAGATAAACGCCAGGCTTCCCACCTCCCAGTCCAGGGCTCTTTATGCCCATAGCCTCCTTAGGGAGTAAGAATACAGCTTTGAAGTGAATAGAGTAGCCCTTGTTCTGCCCTTGCTCCCACCTCAGGGAAGGACTGAGGATGGTGTGTCAGCCTCGGGCTTTTGTCTACGACCCCCCCTCCCCCCATTTATCGGGTTTCGGGTTTCCCTCCCTCCTCAGCTTTTGAGCCAGGTTGTTCCAGAAGAAACCAGAACATCCTCTCCTTGTCCCTAGGTTCCTAACAGCAGGTTTGCCCGGGGTGGCCTCTTGGAAATGCTCTCCAGGGCCTCGCAAGGTCAAAATGCTTTGGTCAAGAGACTTAAGTTCTCTGAGCCTCTTGGGAGGAGAATTTGGATATCTCAGGGCCTACAAAGGCATTCAGAGGATGACAGAGCCCCAGGGCCTGGCATGCAGTAGGTGCTCAACAGGTAACATTCTGCAAGGGTCAGAGACCTTGATGAGGAGGGAAGGTCAGGGTGGGGCACCCAAAAGAAGTGGTTCTCAAGGTGAGGCCCCTGACTGAGGGTGAAACCTCACACCCAAGTCTTTTACCAAAGGTCATGGGAGGCCAGACTTGGGCAGATTTCCATTCCCAGTTGAGGGTACTGGCCAATGTCCCCTGACAGACCACATGACCAAGTTACCAGGGAAAACATTCTCCGACCTGCAGACTCCCTCTTATCAGATCAAGGAAAGGAATCGGAGAGTCCAGAGTTGGGTTTCAGGACTGGAAAGATGGGATCTACCTTCCTCTCCTGCTGAGCCGCTGTGCAGCTTGGGGGTACATGCCTACCCTACTGGGGGGCCTCAGTTTCCCCATAGAAAAACAGAGTGTTGGACTACATGGTCTCTCAGGTCCAGTTCTGACATCTAGCATTTCTCCTTTTTACTTTGGCAACCAGAGACCTCAACCCTAAACAATGCCCTTCTCGCCCGGTACAAGCCGATAACTATACTATATTAACTATTTAGAATTTAGCTTTGTATTTTCATCTCTCCACTCCTCCTCCCCATTACTACCTCAGTCATGGTGCCTGGCACATGGTAAAATGGTAAATGAATAATGAATAAATATGAATGAAGGCTATATGGAGTTTGAATAAACATTTTGATTTTTCTGGTCTTATTATGTGACTATATAATGTGAATTTTAACAAAAGTGGTCCTAATCCTTTATCAGAAGAACAAAGTTAGGGATTAGTGGAGAAGGCATGGACTCTGAAAACAGATTAGCTTGGGTTCAAATCCTAATTCTTCTGTTTACCAGCTGTGTGACCCTGATCTGATGCCGTGTCTCTAAGCCTCAGTTTCCTCATCTGAAAATGGAGATCATAACCCACTCCCACTCCGCTGCGGGGAATGGATGCTGCTGAGGGCAGGTCCAAGGGCTTACTGGTGGGCCGTGGGATGCTGAGCTGGACCTGGGGATGTCATGATGGGAGGAGGGGGCCAGGACTCACCTGCAGGACGAACTGGGCAGCCACTGGCTTGTGGTCACTGACTGTGTATTCCATGTGGCTGTCATAGCTGTGTTGGGTCACCTGGAGGCGGTGGCTTTCCCGTCCTGAGGGGCTGGGACCCACACCTGGAGCCTTGACCTTCCACAGGATACGGTCTGTCCAGGCTGGCTTCCGCTTCTTGGCACTGAAGTGGGCAGGGGGGACCCAAGTTTCAGGGGCTGGGGTTTGAGGCACAGCCTCCAGCCTTGCTTCTTGCCAATCCTCTTCCCTATCAAGAAGACCTCAGCCCGTGTCTCCACCTCATCCCAGTGCTGAGCTCACCTGGTATCGTATTTGTTAGTACCCACATCAAATTTGAAGGTGGGTGCAAAGTTGAGGGGCCCCTCCTGGAAGCCCTTCAGGATGGGCCAGGTGTTCTTGGCCATGTTGAGCTGTGAAGGTCCAAAAGGGCAGAATTGGACAACAGCTTGCACAGGACAGGTGAAGGCAAGAGCCAGAGCCTAGTAGTATACAAAAGTGTGCTGGGTCATGCTCTGTGTGTTTGGCATTTAGGGTGCGGGCTGGGATTCTGCACCTGGTCCTTCTCCCAGAGCTGGTGGAGCTGGTCGCTGTCAATGGCAAATTTGACGAAGTGCAGGTCATAGCTCTCGATGCGGAAGTTGAGGTCCCCAAACCAGAACACGAGGCTGTTCAGGGGTGGGCGTCAGCAGGGTCCATGGGGTGAAAGAGCCCAACCCAGATCCTTTTCCACCCCCATCCAACCCACAGCACTGGATGCCCCCTTGGGATGATGCAGTGGGTGGGGTAGGTGGCTGCAGACCCTCCAGCCCGCCAAGGAACAGCAGGGGGATGCAGATCTAGAACAAAGTTTGATTGGACCCTCAGCAAGGCCCTGCCCCTCAGCAAAGCTCCACCCTGCAGTTTCTGTCCTCCATCAACTTACCAGCATTCGTGTTCCTAGATGTAGTTTAGCCACCCCCCCCCCATAGGCTCTGCCTCTACCCACAAGGCCCACTCAGGCTGGTACTCAGGTTCCTGTGGCCAAATTTTTGAGACTCTCGCCTCTGAGGCCCACCTCCTCCTTCATCAGCCCCGCCCAAGCTCCACTTGGTCCCGCCCAGAGCCCATACTCGTGATCCAGGATGCCATGCGCCCCGGGCCCCGGGAACTGCTGGAGGCTAAGGATGGTCTGGAAGTTGTCCTTGCGCTGCTCTGCCTTGTCCATGTGCGCTGGCAAGTGGCAGTTCAAGAAGCAGAGCATGTGCCCGAAGGCCGCCAGTCGCACGCTCACTCCACCCTTGTTGCCCTTGGGAGACACGGTTGATCGAGTCATGGGCGGGGCCTAGGCAAGTAGATGAGGCACTGGGCGGGGCATAGAGAGGGGCGAGGCCAGCCAGCCCGGTGGAAGAGGCTTAGAGAGCGGTGGGCTCTACCGCAAAGGAGGGGAACCCTGGGATGGGGCAGGGACAGGAAGGGGGCTGGGTCTAGAAAATGGTATGGGGCGTTGGGCGGGATTGCGGAGAGACAGGCGACAGCGTAAGGGGTGGAGCATGGGGAGGGGACCTTGCCAGTGCGTGGAGGACCCGGAGGACTAATCTATAGACCCGTTAGGGCCCTGTCCCGTCCCGGGCTGCTCTCATGCTCACCCAATAGCCACCCAGGCCAGTGCGCGTGCAATCAGTCTGCACGTCCCTCAGGAAGGGCAGGTGGTAGTACTTGGCGAACAGCAGCAGGATGACGCCCTGCATCCGCACAGTACTCACCTGCGGCGGGAGGCGACGAGGTTGAGGGACCGCACACAACCCCCGCCCTGCTGTGCGCTTTCCCCCACTCTCCTCCATCCTCCTATTTCGCGGACCCAGCAACAGAGGTCCAGCAGGCCCCACAGTGAATCCACGCAGAGCTAGGGCCGGGAATCCAGGGGGCTCCACCCTTCCAGGGGCTGAGGGAGACGTTACCAGCACGAAGTTGAAGGGTGCCAGTGCGTCCATGAAGAGCTCGCTCCACTGGTCTGTGAAGAGCGCGTCCTTGAGCCGCTTGTTGATCATGGAGTTCACTTCCTGCAACCTGGGGGTGGGGGTGAGGCGGCTGTCGGGTTGGGGGTGCCCTAGAAGCCCTTCCCATGGGCAAAGGTCTGGGAGGCACGAGGGATCCAGGAATGGGGTCCACCCGCCCGGCCCCCTCACCCTATGGCAATCATGTCTGCCCCATCACTGTCATCACCGCCGCTGCCCAGGTGGAGGAGGGATGTGACGTCGTCAGGCGGCATGGCCGTGCCCACATTCCATGTGACCACAGTGATCCTGGGGGTGGGGGTATAGGAGGGGTTACCACTGGGCACCATTCCCTCCTCCTCCCTCCCTCCCACAGGGCTCTTTCTGAGGAAATAAACTGAGGCACAGGTGTGGGTGTAAGCTCTCAGGAGGAGGACAGTGGGCCCAGGATCCCTCCTACCAGAGTCTCCCAGAGGAGATGGATTGAGGCAGGGGTGGGCAAGCCCCTTAGGAGAAGATGCTGTCTCCTGAGGGTCCCAGAGTAGGCCCAGTACCCCCAAAGAATCTTTCCCAGGGAAGTAAACCGGGGTAGTGTAGGGTAAGCCACCCTGGAAAGATGGCTAGTTTCGGAGCTCGAGCCCCACCAGTCTTTCTTGGGAGAAGGCCCCCTCACCAGAAGCCAGGGTCGCTCTTGCAGGTAGGCTGAGCTGACCAACAGGATGATGAGGTGGAGGTAGAAGGGGAGGCGGTGACCGGAGCTGGAGTTTCTCGGGGCTGAGGACTGGGGCTCAAGTGCGCACTAGGCCCTGCACCCTGGGTGCCAGGCCTGGGGAGGGCCGTCTCAGGGGCTGGGGGGACACAGGGGGAGCGGTTGGGGGAGCGGCTGGGGGAACGGCTGGGAGACCGGGGTGGCTTGGGCAGAGGTGGGGGCACAGTCTGGGCCGAGGAGGCCCCTGGCCGGAAGGTGGGGGACAGAAGTCCTGGGGAACGGGAGGCAGGCTCTGGAGGGCCCTGGCCCACATCCAGGGGCAGGGTCTGGGGTGGCCGGGGCAGGACAGGATCCTTGGGGCTGCTGCGGGGGGCCTCAGGCCGGGCTCTGAAGGAGGGGGAAATCCAGGGGTCTGCGGGGGTTTGGATCAAGGACGTGGAGGCTGCAGGACCAGATGCCTGAGCTGAAGGCTGGAGATGCTCTTCGGAAGAGGGGAGAGGTTTAGGGGCTGGGGCATCCCTCTGTTTAGCTGGTGTCCATCCCACAGAGGCCGAGGCTGACGTCACAGAAGCTGGAGCCAGGGCCTGGTCCTGAGAGGACGACAAAACCGGACTGGGCACTGGGGAAGAGTTGGAAGGGGGTTGTGGGGGCTGCTCCTCAGATGCCAGGGCCAGGCTCAGGCCTGAGGCAGCCAGTGCTGGCTTGGGTTCCACAGAGGCAGGTGGCACCTGCTTCTGGTCCCTGGACGTTGGAGACAGCCTGGGCCGCAGGGTGGCTGGGGGAGGCCTCGGCCCTGCCGAGGCGGACATCACCAGCTGCCCCAGGGATGCTGGAGCCAGGACTGAGCCTGAGGTCACTGGAGGCGGCTTCGGCCCAGCTGAGGCAGACATGACTAACTGGCCCACAGATGTTGGAGCTAGGCTGGAACCGCGGCGGGCAAGAGCTGTCTTCTGCCCTCCAGGGGTAGACAGTGGAGCCAGGGTGGGTCGAGGAGACGCCAGAGCCAACCTTGGCCCCTCTGTGGAAGGTGGCATAGCTGCTCGTGGTCCCACAGGTGCTAGAGCCAACCTTGGTTCCGAGGGTACTGGGGCCGCATTCTCCTTCACTGGGAGCTGAAAACTTGAGTCCACCTTGCAGAAGACAAGTCAAAGACTCAGGGTAACCCTAACCAGGGGCTTGGGCCCCAACTTCCATAGAAACCCCAGCAGACTCCATCTAGCTAAGAAAGGCATATCTTTGCAAGGAAGTTCTTCCTAATTTCTCACCACAGTCCATTCTGTTGCAAATCAGCTTCTCTTTTGGAGGAAACAGGATGCAGAACCTTATCCCCTCCCTCAAGTCTGACACCTCTCATAGATGGGGAACCTAAGACCCCACCTCAAATGAGGCAGGGTGTGAGCCTGAACCCGAGGGTTCTCTCCTTGCCTTCCTGGCTGACACCCACTCCCTGGCCATGCTGGAGTTTGGGCGCCTGGAGCCAGCTTCCCTGGGCAGCCCTCCCTGCATTTCCTCCTGCTCCCCTGGCTAAGGGCTACGGCCTAACACCCCAGATCTGCCCTCTGTGGACACCCTGGGTCTAGCCTATTCCTCTCCTTTCCTCCACAGTTCCTCCAGGAACCGTCAGCTTCATCCCTGCCAAGCATCCTGAACTCCTTGGTCACGGTCCTCTCCTCCTCACCCATTCCCAGAGTTCCATCTAGGAGCAAGAGCCCAGGGCTAAGACTAGCCACGTCAATTCCAAGCCCAGCTCCGTGTCCCCTTAGGCAAGCACCCCTCTGCCCAGGGCCTCAGTTTTTGTCTGCAAAATGAAGATATCTGATAAAGGGTCCCTAGCCACACCTTGCTCCTGAGAAGCCTTGGTCTCCTATTCTCTGCATTTATGAGCCGAACATTTGCTAGGATTCCATTCGAGCCCCATGGAATAGCCCGTCCTCATCAAGTGTGATTCTAACATTCAGAGCAAGTGCAGGATTCTGTTGATTCTGGCATTCACTTCTCTGTGCCCAATTGCACCGTCCCCTGTCTCCCCCACCTTTGAGGACAGGCAAGCAGGTATCCTCCTTTTGTCCGGTAGGCGGAGTGGGGGGACGTGAGGCCCTGCGGGGACCTCCTCTCTCTTTCCCATCTGTCCTGTTTCTGATGCCCCCGTCTCCAGAAGACAGGATAAAACACGTCCTCCGCCAGGGAGGGCAGAAGGTTTACACCCGCCCTGAGGTGGCCCCAGCCCTGCCTCCAGACATGCAGCTCTGTCTGTGTCCCGTGTCCTTCTCGGTTCAGAGAACCTGAAACTCTGCCTCCACCTTCCTCCTCAAACTTAGCTCTTTGAGGCTGCATTTTGGGCATCCTCCTTGGCTCCAAGTGTCCCCCCAACCACCACACGGCCTCCAGCACTAACAACTTAGACATCCCAGATGTCACCATTTTAGTCTTCGGGGACAAGCCTCCTCATTTTGCATTGATTCAGAGAGGACAAGCAACTTGCCCAAGGTCACACAGCAAAGCTGGAGCACAGCTGGATCCCCTGACACCCAGTCCAGGGCTCTCCTGGGGGCTCCTGGAAATGGCTAACTCCATCTCTCTCTGGGTGTCCCATCACTGCCCCCTCAGCCCCCAGAGTGCCCTGTTTGCCTAGCCCCTGCTAGTGGGCAGAGGAGAGTGCCCGCCCCTCAGCCAGGGGCACCAGAGTGCCTGCGGTGCGTGGGGCTGTGTGGGACCAAGGATCAGGGATGGGGGGTTAGGTTTCAGGGGTCTTACCTTGGAGGGTGCCCCAGTTTGGGAAACCCCATGGGGCCCGGGCAAGGGCAGGGGTCCCAGGCCAGCCCGGGTACCTGGCCTCCTGCTGCCGCTGCTGCTCTGGCCCTCCATGTCTGCAGCCCCTAGCAGCCCAGGCTCCCTGGGCTCAGGCTCCAGCTCCTCCGCTCCCGGGAACCAGTGATGTCATCAGCCGTTTCAACCTGCTGAGAATTTAAAGACACAGGCACCCACTTCCCAACCCAGAGGTGGCCAAAGCAAGGTGGCCTACCCTCTGGGAACCCTTCAAACTGACTGCTGAGACTGAAATGGCCATGGGACGGGTTGGAGAATGTGCCCATTGGCCTGGCTTGGGTCCCAACTGGCGACATGGAGGAGGCCCCCTGTCTGCCCCCACCCTCCTGCCAGTAGGCCTGGCTGGTCCTTACTCAAAGGTGGGGTACTAACACACCTGAGGGCAATGTAGAGACAGGTAGCTCAGAGGTCAGCACCCTCTCCAGGGCCGCAGAGACAACCAAGCCCCTGCCATGATCCTGTGAGCTTCCTGACTCCCTGCCAGCCCAGGGCTTGCTTTGGCCCCCACCTTTGCCCCATTTTCGGTCCTTGGTGCCCGCCCCCTGCCTGGCTCTATCCTTCCCATTCCAGAGCCAGACACTCAGGCTCCAGCCACTGGAGGCCCCTCCTAACCCAGCCTCAGCACCGTCCCCTGCTATTCTGCAGACACCGGGCCACCTGCCCTGGATGTCTTCACAGCCCAGCCCCTCTCAGCTTTTCTCTCTCCAGGATTCACTGGGTGTGGTTCGGGTGAGGGACTAGCTCAAGGTCACCTGGTGAGCTGGGGAGGTCTCAAGAGTTTCAGTGAGGAAAGGGAGCTTTCTCAGTGACCCAAGACCCATGGGAGCCAATTGGGGTGTTTGAGGGGAGGGAACTAGGGTGGAGAAAGGCCCAGCAGTGGGGGAACAGACTGGCAGGAAAGTGAAAAACAGGCCCGGGAAACTTCGATGGCCAACACCCAGCACAGGGTCCAGGGAAATATTTGCTGAATGAACCGATGACTCAGTCAGTGAGTGAGGAGAGTGAATGAGTGACAGGGCTCAGATGTGGCCAGGGATGACTGTGGGCCCTCTGATTCTGCCTCCTTCCCTCTCTCACTCTTATCTGCTAAGTAGTCCCTGAGATCCTGATTTCTCCAGAATTGCTGAATTGCTTCGAGAGGAGTGGTCGCACTCAGTGTAGCCAGAAAATGTCCAGAGTTTTGTAGCCAGAGCTCTCTGGTGGTCCACGGTCACCTATGTAGCCTCATGGGCCTGTGTGGTCCCCTGCATGAAAGCTGCACGGACAGATGCCTCGTCTCCTTCTGCTGGATGGGCTTCCCCCCTCTGCTTGACTGTCTCGGGGTCTAGTCTGTGTTTCCCAGCCAGCAGTTCTGTGAGGCTGGAATTTGCAGGGCCTCAGCCCCAGACCATGTTAGGGCCCTCGAGTAGAAAGGATTTGGGGTGATGAAGGATGGTGGAAGTGATGAGTGGCTACAGGGGAGGTGACTGTGGTGGAGATAATGATGTACGGAATTCTGATGATGGAAGTGGAGGACCGATACTGATGATGGAGGTGCTGGTGATGTTTCGGGTAAATGGAGGTCGTGGAGGTGATAACAAAGGTACAGCCGTTGGTGATGGTCGAGGTAGTAGAGCGAAGCGATGGTGGTCACTGGGATGAGGGTGATAGTAACGGTGGAGGAGAGTTGGGGGCAGGGAGGCAGCGGGCTGTTCCATTGATAGAAGAAGAGGTGGTGGTGGAACGGGACATGGTGGTGGGACTCAGGCCACCAGAGAGGGAAGGAAAATTTGGACTTACCCTGCCCAGTCGTCTGACTCCTCTTGTATAGATGAGAAAACGGAGGAAGGAGCCCCCCCCCCAAGTACTGGCCTCCAATGCAACCCTGGAAGTTGTTGGGGGGGAGCAGATCCCAGTCCCTGGGGCCTGTCGCAGAGCTCAGCCATCCACAGCTCAGACAGGGACATCAGTGTCCTTTGGAAGCCAGGCAAATGTCATGCAAATGAGCATGCAGAGGGTTGCTGCACACTGCAGGGCAGCCCAGGATTTCCTGTCATCGTCCCTCCCTGAAGTCAGATCCCACAGGGGACTTTGTTTCTGGCCTTGCCACTGGCTTACCTGGGGAGGTTGCTCAGATTCCTGATTTGTGTAGGGAGATAAAAACAGTAGATACCTCCTAATGTTGCTGTGAAGATTCAACAAGAGGATATATCTGAAGTGTTTAGCACAGAGCCAGGCACAAGTGAGCTCTCGGCGAGGGCAGCGGCTCTGCAGTTGGCATCACCGCCATCATCATCTGCTCCAACCTGCCCATTTAATGGATGCTGAAACTGAGGCCCAGTGTCAGTTGCCTTCCTGGGGGGAAGGGACAGGGGCTCTGAGACCCAGACTTGGCTTTGCCAGGAGAAGGGGGCGGGGCGGACCCCGGTTGAGAAGGGAGCAGGGTAAGAGCCATATTTGAGCTCCTGGTGTGATGACTAAGGAGGTTGATAACAGGCTCTGGGGCTCTGGGCGGCAGGCTGGGGGCAGCTGCCAGGGAGAACCGCCCCCCTGGAGACGGCTGTCTCCAAAGGCCCCTCCTGGCTCCCTCCCTTTCCTCACTCCAGGGAGTAGGGAGGTGGTGTGCTGAGACAGAGGGTACATCTTGTCCAACCCGCCCCCCCCTTGGAAACTCTTAGTGCTACCCTTCAGGCTGTTTAGGTCAGGAATAGGAAAGGAGGGAGCTGGTGATTGACAAATTATCTCACTCTCCATAGTAACCCTGGGAGGTTGGTAATAAGATCCCCATTTGACAGAGGAAGAAACTGAGCTCTAGGGATTACACAGCCATTAGGGGACAGAGCATGGGGTTCCCAGGGAGAGAGTGGATAATTCTCCCCCACAGAAGTGACTGTTGAACTCCTCCTTTGAAGGAGAGTCAGTTTTGCCAAATTGAAAAAAAGGAGAAATGCCCTGGGAAGCAGAGGGAGGAGCAGGGGCAAAAGAATGGAGCCTGAAGGGTCCAGGCTATGTATGACAGGATGCAAAATCTGGATATGTGCCCTCGTGGTCCTTTGGCTCAGAGTAAACCCATCATAAGCAGGGAAGGGAGAGAGACTTTCTCTTTCCTCCTCCTCTTCCGTGAGCTACCTCCCAGGAGCACCTGAGGATGGTAATGATACAGAAGGGGCTGTCCTCCTTCCTTTCGCTCCCTGGTCACCCTGCCCCAGGCCCACAGGGAGGGAGGTCACACTGTGGCCACTAGCTGATAAATAAATCCCTTGAGATGTAGAGTGTGCCATAGGGTCCTGTAGGAAGGTAGAAGAGAGGGAAGCATTAAGGAGGGCTTCTGTGAGGAGGAAGCATACAGGGCACGGAGGAACACTTCCCCTCCCTTCACTCCAGGGTTCCTTATTGCTCCGAGTACAGTACCACATGTTATGTCATTGTCTCCTCATTCTTCCCCTCTGGGGCAGGTGTCATCCTCAGCTCCCATTCTGCCCCACAGGAAATGGGTTCAAGCAGGAGTGACTTTCCCAAAGTCACACAGCTGGGGCTGTGCTCAGGCATCCCTCCTCCCTCTCCTCAGCTCCCCCTCCTCCCAGGCAGGCCAGCACCCGCTGTCAGCTGCTCTGAAGTGAGTGGCTATTTTTATTCTGGTGCGAGGGGATCTTGGGCAGCAGAGCCATGTAGGTTAGAAGACTCTAGGACACCGGCTTCAGCAGGAAAGGCGAGGCTTACTGCAAGAGCATAGGCTTGCCCGGGGGACTCTCATTTCCTGCATGCCAACCTGCCCTGGGTGTTCATGTACCAGAAATTGCTTTTTGGGAGCTCAGAACAGAGCATAGAACCAAACTAAACCCTGGCCCTGATCCCAGATCCAATTTGAGCCCCAATTTTGGTGTTAACTGAGCCCTTATCCCATGCCAAGACTGACTCTATACTCTACCCTGACTGTAGTCTGAGATCGAGCCCTGACTCTACCCATGTACAGAGCCTGATCCAAGTCTGACTAAGGCTGATCCCAACTTGAGACCTTGATTCTGGACCCAGATTGAGCCCTGATTCTCGTCTAAGCCTGAGCCATAGTCATTGACTGAATTCTAACCCCAGTCCAGACCAACCCTTGATTTTAGACTGAGCCCCAACCCCAGGTCTAGACTGAGCTCAGTCTAGTCATTAACTAAATCCTAAACCTGGTGGCAGATTGAGCTATGATTTTGGTCACAGACTGAGCCTTGAGCCAAATCACTGATAGAATCCTGACTTCAAAATGAGCTCTAACCTTGGGTCACACAACTCTGGTCACACACTGAGCCCTTGTTTCAGACTGTGCACTGACCGAATCTGGTCAAAGGCTGAACCTTGAATGTAGTCATAGACTGAGCCTTGATCTTGGTCACAGACTGAGGTCCAAGCCCAATTATTGACTGATCCCTGAACTGACTCCAGCCCCAGACTCAGTTCTAAATCTGGCTTTAGGCCAAGGGCTGACCATGACCCCGATCCCATTACAGACTAAACCCCAAACCCAGCCCCACCCGAGGAAGGCTGCTAGCCTAGATCACAAAATGCCACATAAGGGCATGGATTACAAGCAGAGATCCGTTCAGGGAGAATCTGGGCCTCCCATGAGTGCTGATGCCAGAATGTTCCCAGTACTCTTGTGTCTAGTGTCTCTACCACTGGTTCCACTGGCTGGCTAGTCAACCCCCAGCAGCCCAGGCTATGGCCCCTCTAGGCCACATCATCTAGGTTAATGCAATGAGAGTGGTTTGGTGGCATCTGTCCAGTGAACAATGTGGGCCCATGAGGCACTGAGGTTTGGCTCTGTCAGCAGAAAAGCCACAGGCTCCATAGGGCCTCTGGCTTCAGCCACTCTGAGGCTCTTGCCTTGCTGGGGTATGGGTTAGGGTTGAGGGAATCCATGGCATTTGTCCCATTATTTCTGTAAACAAAGTTTACTGTTTGCATTTAGGTAATACATAATTATTATAGAAAATACAGAAAAAAAGTATAAAGGAGAAAAACTTCACCCTATAATTTCATCTACCAAGAGATGACTATTTTGACTTCTTGGGTTGTTTCCATCTAGATTTTGTGATTTGGGCTAGGTATATATATCTATATACACATATTTTATAAAATTGGTTGGCTATTCTGTTGATGCTAAACATCCATCGAAGCCTATATCCTAGACAGGCTGCTGGAATGGGTCTCAACTGGTTAAGCCAATGAGCTATTTCCATTCCCTTAGCCACATGATTGGATCATGGATGGACTAGTGAGATATAAAGAGACTTTTGCGAAAGAAAGCTTGCTTTCTCTTCTGAGAAGTTTACCAAAAAAGATCATCTCCCCTTCATTAGATATGAATGAAGAAGTCTGTGGTCCTGGTTACTGTTGGCAGCCATCTTGATACCATGTATGTAACTGGCTTGATGACCAGCTGACACTATGGAAGGCAGAATGGAGAGAAATCAGGTCTTGGGGACTTTATCAACCAGATCAAACCTGACCTGAAGCCCTCCCTGCCATTGAACTTTTTTGTTATTTGAGCCAACAGATTTTCTTTATTGTTCAAGCCAGTTAACTTGGGGCATCTGTGACTTGCAGCCCAGAGCGTCACAATTCCCAACTGATATTACTCTTTTATAGCCTAAAAAAATTTTTAAATACCATAACTATGAACATTCTCCATGTTGTTCAACACTATGCTGCATCATTTAAAACAATTGCATGATTTTCTATCCTGTGGAGGTACCATCATTTATTTAACTCATTCCCTGAGGAGACATGCTTAGGTTGTGTCTCCAGTTTTTCACCATTGTAAACAGTATTTTTTTAAATTTATTTTAATTTATTTTTTAATATTTTGATGTTCTTTTGGTACTGCTCACAGAACTTTTTTTTTAAAAGACTTTATTTGTTTATTGTCAGAGAGAATGAGAGAGAGCACAAGCATGGGGAGCAGCAGAGGTAGAGGGAAAGGAGACTCCCCACTGAGCAAGGAGCCCAATGCGGGTCATGACCCTCGGATCATGACCTGAACCGAAGGCAGACACTTAATTGAGCCACCCAGGCATCCCCCCCCTTTTTTTTTAATGCATAAAGAGATTTATTGCAAAAAATGGTTTATGCAACTGTGGAGGCTGGTAAGGCATGTCTGAAATCTGTGGGGCAGGCCAGCTGTCTGGAAACTCCTAGGCAGGAGGGGATGCTGCAGTCCACAAGTGGAATTTTCTCTTCCTCAGAGAAACTCCAGTTTTGCCTTATCTTCCACAGATCTACACCTCAAAACGTGAAAGCCAGAAGGTACAGGGAGTCCAGTGCCCAGCAACGGCTCAGCAGCTCCTCCTATGGATGCAGCCCATGCCTTGGGCACTAGAGATTGAGCCAGAGCAGGCGCCCTACAACCATGGCTGGGTAAACAGTGTTTTTTTTTTTTTTTTTAATTTGTTTTTTTAAGATTTTATTTATTTGAGAGAGAGAATATGAGAGAGAGCACATGAGAGGGGGGAGGGTCAGAGGGAGAAGCAGACTCCCCGCCGAGCAGGGAGCCTGAGGCGGGACTCGATCCAAGGACTCCAGGATCATGACCTGAGCCGAAGGCAGTCGCTTAACCAACTGAGCCACCCAGGCACCCAAACAGTGTTTTGATAAACTTAACCTAACAATTGGTCCCTTCTCTGATGGTTACTTTGAGCCAAATCCTGACAAGTGAAATGACTGGGTGGAAGAAATGTTTTTAGGGTTTTGATTTATTGAGTCAAATTGCCCCTCAGAAAGGTTGGATGAATTCACACTTCCACAGCAGTAAATAGAGTGTTAGACATTGCTTATCATGTCAATAGTCTGGACAAAACCAGTTATATTTACAGCCCCCTGATGTATGTACAAAGAAAGGGTATTAAATAACAACTCTAAGCCCATTATTATTTTATCTTTACAATCAAGTCAGTGAATGTGAGGTAGCAGGGTATAAGCAAAGGGCTCTGTGCAAACCTGACTTAATCCATTAGGCTTAGTGTCCAGGACCCATGATACTTTTAGAGGTCATGAACATGTTTTAATTTTCATTTCTTTTAAAATTGAAAGAAAAAATAAACATATAATAATGAAACCAGCCAGAATTATATTCACTTTTTTTTTTTTTTTTTAAATTAAGGCAGTTGTAAAATGCCTTAATGGAGGAAAAGGCCCAGAAAGGCAAAAATACCTAAGGGTCCATGAAAGTCATAATGCAGCTTTGGCTTGATGTTAAAAAGGATTCTGATTCCCAGTCTAGATTCAGTAGCAAAGAGCACTGTGATCAATTTGCTGTGTCTGCCTCAGGCTTAAAGAGGGAACGTGGCGTCTTTATCTAGTCAACTTTGGTTTGATGAGACGAGCACAGGGACGTTTCAGGTTCAATTCCCAGATCACAATGTCATCGGTCTACCTTTCTGATCCTGTTTCTTAACTTGCAAAACGGAGTTCATGGGGCTTTTATGAGGTAAGAAATGAAATAACGAAAGCTAACACTGTGCCAGGTACTGTTCTAAAGGGCTTTATGTGTATTAACCCTTTTATCCTTCCAGCCCCTACAGAGTGCGTAATATCCCACATTCCGCCATAATGAGTGCTCCAGGGATTTGAAACCCAGATCGGAATTTCATCCAAAGAAATAAAAGACACAAACAAGAATTCCCAGCCTCAGTTTCCCTATCTTCAAGTCAAGTGGCTGGCCCTGAAACTCGCTGGTCCGTCCGCATCCCTCCCGCACCCCCTGCCGGCGTAAGGGGGCACTCTCTGGCCGCATCCCGCCGTAGCGTCTGCGCTCTCGGTCGGCGTGGACACTCGCGGCTGGGAATATAAAGGCCTAAGGGTCAGAGAAGATCCCGAACCAGAAAAGATTCCGAACCCTGCCGGAAGAGAGCTGAAGGCCCCAGAGCCGGCCCTGGGGTGGAGACTGACAGCTCGGGGCGTGGTTCCCTAGGGGCGGGGCCTGGGGCGGGGCGGGGCGGGGCCAGCCGGCGGACCCAGACGTGGCGCAGTGGCCCGGCCGTTCGCCTCTAGCTTGCGGATCATCTTCGGCCCGGTTCCGATGCACCTCCCGCTGCCTCCACCGCCCCTGCTGCTGCTTCTCGCGGCACTCGCGGCCGCCGTCACTACCTTCCGGCCCGACTGGAACCGTCTGCACGGCCTGGCCCGAGCCCGGGTAGAGGTAAGTGCCCTGGTCCCTAGCTCAGGGACCACTGCCCCCAATCCTCCGGCCCCTTAGCTTTGGAATCACCATTCACTTTGGCCCCAGGACCCTCCTGACTCCCAAGTCCCCCTCAGGGCCAGGACCATCCCTCCCGCTCCCCAGCCGCGGGACACCCCAGCACCCACCACCGTGGAAGCCCCAGACACCCGATCTTGCGGCCTGGAAACCCGAATTCCTCCCTAGTTTCCCATCCGGCTGGACAGCGGGCCCCCAGACACACTGGCCCTGTCCCCTAACTCTACTCCCGGCCTGTGACTCTTCCAAACCTGTCCTCTGGAGCCTAACTTTACATCCTCCCATCACTCCACTTTTTCCTGGACTTCCTCCCCCACCCCAGTTCCGGTTTGTGTCTCCCTTTCCCGAGGGAGGGAAGACTTTCTGGGCGCTTGCCCCACTATGCAAAAGCCAACTGCATTACCAACACTTACTCCGCAGCAGGCTTCCATCCTCCTCTGTGGGGAAATTACCCGTCAGAGTCCCTGTTTGGTTGTGTGACTTGAATCATCACAGATCCTCCCTCTCTGGGCCTTAGTTTTGTCTGACAGGAGGAGGGGGAGGAGGAAGGAGGACTAGAATATTCCCGGGGTCTGGACTCCTGCTGGGAGGTGTCTCTCCCCTCTGGGAGTGCAGGGAGGGGCCCACACATCCTCCCATGTTGCGAAAGCAACCAACCAGATGGAGGCCCAGCTCTGCATGGGGCTAGGTAGGGACCAGATGGCAGGTATCTCTAACGAGGTCTCCCAGGGCAATTCAGAGCTGTTCCCTTCTGGCCTGCCTCCACCCTGAGGTTCTAGGGGCCGAAGTCCAGGCCCAGGTGTCTACTGCCTGAGAGAAGTAGAGTAATCATTTCTTTTGGGCATTGGGAGTGAGTAAATAGTAAGGTGTGCAGGCAAGAGCCCCAAGGCTGGTAAATGCCTTTTGGGTCACTGGTCTTGCTCCTCTTTTACCTGATGTCTGTAAGCCCCAGTTTTTCTATCTGTACAGAGTTCCCCCCTTCTGTCATAAGGGAACTTCTGTTTCAAGGGTAATCCACAGCCTCACCCAACTCTGGGAGGAGGGTGAAATGGTCTTGAGGGTGTGACTGGGCAGACATGAAGGATTCCTGACCTATCTGATTTTGTCCCCCTCCAGACCTGTGGGGGATGACAGCTGAATCGCCTGAAGGAGGTACGGTATTTTTTTGTTTTGTTGTTTTCTTTTTTTTGTTTGTTTGTTTTGTGTTTTTAAGAGATAGGGTTGGGGGGGTGCAGAGGGAGAGGGAGAGAAAGAATCTTAAGCAGGCTCCACGCCTAGCACAGAGTCTGACTCAGGGCTCAATCTCACAACCCTGAGATCATGACTTGAGCCAAAATCAAGAGCCGGACGCTTAACTGACTGAGCCAGCCAGGTGCCCCTGAAGGAGGTAAGTTTGAAGAAAGGGGTCTCCAGCTGTGTCTCCACTGAGCCCCCTAGGGGATGGGTAACATAGTCCTACAGATTGGCTGGAGGGGAAGTTCCCTGGGGTGGGAGTCAAGAGTGTGTGACCTCAGCAGGCTTCAGTTTCCTGTCGGTATCTGGAGGGGGTCGGGGTCTGATTCTCTGGTTCTTCCCCAGGTGAAGGCCTTCGTCACCCAGGATATCCCTTTATAGTATCCTTTTTCTGTTGTGGGGGAGGGAGGATGGGGAGGAGGATCTGGGAGAATCTCCTTCCACTTAACTTCACAGATAGGGACGACAAATGGTTTTCATCTGACAAGTGGAATTGATTGATAGTGACTGCCCAGAGAATTCCTAGGTGGAAGGCAAGAGAAATTGACTACTGATGACCGCCACAGACACGGGAACGGAGAAGAGAGCCCTTTACTTCTCTGAACTCTAACTTCCTCACGTGTAAATGGGGGATCCCTGCCCTACGTGGGCAAAAGAGGCAGTGCTGTTCACCTGCTGTTCATAGGTGGGAGACCCCACCAGCCTCAGGCCACCACTACACACCTTAACAACTCCAGTCACAACCTGGTAATGAAACACCTTCCAGGGGCTGACCCAGAGCTCGTCCTGCTGGGCCACCGCTACGAAGAACTGGAGGTGAGGCTTGGAAGCCGGGCGGGGGCGAGGCAGTGGCGGGGGGGGGGCGGTCGGGGCGAGGCGCACTGACCCCACCCCTCCTCTACTTCAGCGAATCCCACTCAGCGAAATGACCCGCGAGGAGATCAATGAGCTGGTGCAGGAGCTCGGCTTCTACCGCAAGGCGGCGCCCGACGAACCTGTTCCCCCTGAGTACCTACGGGCGCCGGCCAAGCCCGCCGAAGGCGCTCCGGACCGCCCTGACCTTTAGGTCCGGGGACGCGGGCCCACCTCCTCCCCCGCCTGAGCCCTGGGGACAGAATGAAGCGCTCAGCGTCCCGGGAGCACCTCCCTCGCTGAGGGCCGACGCCTCGTCCCTGAGCCGGCAGAGATGGAGTTGGGGTTTCCTCCTAACCCCTTTCTTCCCTACCCAGCTCAATTAAATCCTCTTCCGCCTTAGCTGAGACTCGACTCCTTCCTTGCTGCGGGAGGGCGGGCAATAGGAGCCCCCCTAATACCCCCGAGAGGCCCAGCATCCCCAAATACCTGGCTGCTGTGGAATGGGGATGTGTGCACCCCTTGCCAAGCTGCCGTAAATTTAACAACCCCAAGAGAGGCAGAGAGGAGTCAGGGTCGTTGAAAACCAATAATTTATCAAAACGCAGCGTGTGTATGCAGGGGAGGGTATCGCGACAGACAGGGCAGCAGTGGGCAGGCGCACAGGGAGGGGATGGTGCCTGGATGGTGGTGGCTGCTTGCCGCAGGCGGGCCGTGCGGGCAGGGAGGCTAGACATTCTTGCCTCGCAGGCGCAGCTCGTGGCGCCGCAGGTGGTTGTAGAGCGACTGCACGTAGGTGAAGACGCACTTGGGGTCAGGCTTCTTGCCCATGATCATCATGTCCTCCACCTCCACCAGAGGGACACAGTCCACCAGCATCCTGCAGGGAGGGGACACGGGGTGGTTGTCAGCGCCGACCCCGCCTCCTGCGGCTACCCTCTACCTGGAGGTCTTTTCACTGCTTGCAGCCTGTTGGTCTTCCATAAACTCCAGATTCTTGATTGACTGAAGGGGTAAAAGCCTTCGGGGAAGACAGGAAACCCCAGGCCGCACTCACAGAAGCCTAGAAGCATCACTACGGGGAGCCAGGCCAGGCAGGTGGAGGTGGAGATGGGAGAGGAGCACCATGCTCCATTCTAACTCTGGGCACATCCGTGTCTCTACCCCTAGCCCGGGGGCGGGGGGGGGGTTCCAGCCTCCAGACTCCACCCATGTTCTCTCTGGAGGGCCACCTCCTACACACGCTCAATGGCACACTCCAGCTGGCACAAGCCTCTGGTTGGGCCATTGGATCCAGTGGGGCCTTACCAATGGGAAATCTTTCTCTGCATTAAGGACCCGCCCCTGTAACCCTCTATGCCCTGGATTATCTCTCAGATGCCTGGCCTGGTACCTCCTGCAGAGAGGCCCAGGAACTGTCCTTGCACCAGGGGACAATCCCACTACATAAGACAGAGGACAGCGAGTGTGTGTGTGTGTGTGGGGGGTAGTTCTTTAACCCTTACCACCTGCCTTGGCTAGAGCAGGGGAGGCAGACGAGGGTCCCAACCAAAACAGCCAGGACCATCTACAACATGCTCAAGGGTGGGACCGCCCTTCTGTCACCCTCCAGAGTGCTAGCTGTACTTTACAGATAGGGAAACTGAGTCACAGACCAGGAGTTATGTTTCAAGCCCCATAGCTTAGCAGGTGCAGGGCTGGGCCTCTTGGGACTCAAGCACCCCAGCCCTGGCTGCTGACACCTGCCTGGAGCCATCTCCTCACTCTGGAGTCAGTGGGCGGCAGCATCTGACAGCCCCAGAGCTCTAAAGCTGGAGTGTGCTCCTTGGCTCCATTTCCCCTCCTCTCCCAAAGCAAGACCTCTTCTGCCTTGCTCCCTCCCATGTCCATGTTAACTGAATTTCCTTCGGCAGGGAAGGCATAAGGGCAGGAATCGTTCCTATTGCCAACACACCAAAGGGCCCAGGACTACCTCCTCCCATCTTGCACCCTCAAGGTCAAACCTTGGGACCATGGTAGGGCTGGGGCCTACTCCCAGCTCACCTGGACTCCTTCATGGAAGCAGCTTGGGAGGCAGGAGACCTCTATTTCAGTCCAGGCTGTACCCCTGATCAGCTGTGTGCGCTAGATAAAGCTCTGCCCTGTTCTGTGACTCAGTTTCTCCATCTCTATAGCAACAAGTTCTCTGCCTCACTGGAGACCTTGGGAGCACTTAGGATGAATGAGGGGGTGTCTGACTCTGTTGCTGATGTGCTATGTGCCCTTGGGATCATGTCTGCCCCAGGCTGGATTCATTTCCCTGGCTATACTATGGGGAAAGAAGCAGCCTCTCTCTGCATCTTCTTCAAGCTGTGGCTATCACCCCAGGGATCCCGGGCTCCCCAACGTGGAGCTCCCTCCCACCTCTGGTGTCTTCCCTGGAGACCTTATAAAGCCATTGTTTACACTGGGGCTCACAGCTCAGGGCTCCAGCTGCCCCAGTGACAGGCCAAACACAGGGCAATTCGAGCAACAGCGTGGCTGAGTCACACTTTCCAACTGGATCAGGGCTGGGTTGGCCCCTCTCCTTTCAGGCCAGCCCGCTCAGCAGCAGCTCCTAAGTCCATATATGACCTGGAGACAGAACCAAGCCCATCCTCCCCTCACCTGCATGGCTTCTCTGGGTATATGTGTGCACATGTGGGCTGCCCCCGACATGGCTCCAGGCCCCAAGGGGCATCTGAGTGCACGGCTAGCTCTGCCCCTGACTCACATTACTTTGGGCAATCCCCTTGCTCCCTGAGCCTTTGTCTTTTCTTCTCTCTACACAACAGGTGGGAAAAGTGATGGGGTAAGGAAAACACCCGCTAAGTGGGGAGTCTGTGGAGTTCCGGCTTCTGGCCCTGTCTCTGACCTAAAACCTCCAGGATGCCGAGCCACCTTTCTCCTCCTCTGAGCAGCTCGTCTGGAAGGGACAGTTCGCTCAGGACCTGAATTCTCTACTGTGGCCCTGAGGTGAGGTGACTAGAGAGAAAATGCCAGAGCTGGTGTAGAGATCCAGAAACATCTTCCTGTTACACTGGCCCCACTCTTGAGCTCTCCAATGAGTGTGGCACCACCAGATCCCCAGTGCCCAAACTGGAGGCCTAGCAGATTCCTTGAGCCTCCTTCTCTCTCCTTAACTGGATACATCAGGAAGCCTGTCCAATTTCTTATTAAGCTGCTTCAGCTATCTAGCCCATTCCTTCCCTCCCTATCCCTCATCCAGGCATTGTTCTAGAATGCTAACCGGATCACATACATCCCTTCTCTGTTTGGAAATCTTTTATGACTCTCGTCCTCAGGAGGAAGTTCAAACTCCTGTGGCCCTTTCTCCCCTTCCTACCCAGACTAAACTTCCTTCCCTTCCCAGGTGTGCCATGCTCTCTTTCCCTCTCGACCCCAGCCCCGTGCACAGGCTCATCCCTCTGCCCGGGACTCCCTTTCCCTCCTTTATCCTGAGCTTGTCATTCAGATCCCAGCTCGGTTTGCACTTTTTTCAGATAGCTGTCCCGGGCCTGCGGGCCGGGTCAGGTGCCTCCTCTGGGGTTCCCTCCTGGGCTTGCTCCATCTCAGTCCTACTCATGTGGGTCATCACTGCCCCTTTAGAAGAATGGTCTTGCCTGCTAGGCCCCAAGCTACCAGAAGATCGGGCCATGTCTGGCTCCTTCCGGCTCTGTTCAGGATCCTGTTGCTTCCCCCACCCCCCTCCCGGGTCTCTCTCTGTGCCCCTCTGAGCAGATTCCAGCGTACAGCACAGGTGGGCGAGGCAGCGTTTCTCACCGTGGGGCCCCTGAGCAGGGGTTAGGACTTTTTGGTTTTTACCAGCCCCTTCTGGACCAGACAGCGGTAGAACTCCTGGATGTACGTGTACACGCACTTCCAGTCAGGCTCTCGAAGCCGCACCATGTCCTCTGTGTCCAGGAGCTGCGGGCAGTCCGCATGGGTCCTGGGGAGGGTAGGGGGCCGGGAAGGGGCAGGGAGGGAGGCAGGGCCCGGGAGAGGAAGAGGGGGAAGAGGCAGAGAAGAGAAAGGGGAGGAGAACAGAGAGACACACACATACACACACACACAGAGACAAGAGTTCAGTTACGTTCTCAGTGCTGCAGTCGGCCGGCCCCCCCGCATGCCCCTTCCCCATTGTGGACGTGCCGCTCACTACCCATCACTAATGGTGTGCGATGCAGACAGGGGTGGGGGGCCAGACCAGTCACAGGTGCAGAGAACTCTTGGGGCAAGCGGGAACGGGGTGTGGGGCAATGGCGTTGGCACTGAGGTTGGAGAGGAGGGCTGTGCCCCAGGGAGGGGGGGTGAGGGAGGCGTGAGAGGAGGTGGGGGAGGGGGAAGAGGAAGAAATCTGGGGGAACCAGAAAGAGAAAAGGAGCAAAGGAAAGACAGATGGAGGGTGCTAAGGGTGAGGTGAGCAGACGGGGTAACGATTCCAAAGTGGAGGGCTTGCTGATGTCCTATATAAGCCTCTGGCAACACCTATATAGGCTGGGCGGGCACGGTGCCCGGGGCCAGGAGCCTCCTTTTGGAATCTCCAGCCGGGATCCCGTGGGAGCAGGAAGCTCTGGTGATAGTGGGAGGAGAGCAGGACAGAGAAAGGGAGAAAGAGAGGGAGGAGGGGGCAGAGGGAGGATGGAGGGGGATATGGACAGGGCCACCTGGTGGGCCTTGGCCGGGGCTGGTAGGCGGGCCGGCGGCTCCTTCGTTCCGGCGGGCACCTGGCACGCTCAGCGGCGGGTGGGCAGGGTGGAGAGGACAGGGGCTTTCTGGGGAAGGGGGGATCTCAGCCGCTGTCTGACAGTGCAGCTGGCCAGCTCTAAGGGGCCTTAGGGCAGCTGGGCCTGGCCCAGATGCGCAGCCCCAGATGCCCAGCTGACACCAGCAGGGCTGGGGCCCACACTTACTCAGCAGATGAGAAGGCCACCTCGAAGTTCTGACGCCGGTTCTGCGGGCTGAGCTGCCCATAGTCGAAGGCCTCGGGGAAGAAGTTGTGCACCAGGGCACAGAAGGCCATCCCATCACTCCAACTTGAGGAGAAGTTCTGGATGTCCACGTGCTATGTATGGGTGGTGGAAGGACTGGTCAGCTTCCCCATAACTTCTATGCCCCCAGCGTTTGGCATTCCAGGCGTAGGGCAACTGGGGTCAGAGAGGCCCTGTAGAGAGCCTTTCCCAAGGCTGCACAGTGGTTGGGCAGTGGGAACATGAGCATCCTTCAGTTGAGTTTGTCAACTCCCACGTCTGCTACGTATAGGCACAGAGCAACCAGGAGGCCCAGCACCACCCAGCTAAGACCATGGTCATGCCTCCCTCACTCCTTCCCTTACTTATAGAAATTTACCCGGCTCCCCCACTCCCATTTCCAAGAGCAATGAG